AGACAGCTGTCACACAAAATACAATTTTATTTTGGTTTTGTACACCAATGTAAATTACACTGAGATGTGGAGCAGACGGATGTGCAGCTATCCCAATGTAGGTACATATAGCATGGAAGTATTACAGCACCTCACCAGTAGGTGGAGGGAGAGTTAGTAATAAACTGTTTGCCTTGGGTAAATGGCTGTCTCAAGGTAAGCTGCAGACAGATGACACCTCCACCAATATAATTTACAGTGGTAACACTGATATAACTACTTCTGATTGATTAAAGGGAATTCTTCATCAGATTGGGCAAAACTACCCCAGTTTAGAGGATTCCATTATCTGTCTGCCAGTTATTTGTCTTATAAACTGAAGATCATGGATTATGTCTTCACTATGTAAGTAATATGATTCAGATAGTTGCAGGTAAAACCTGCACTTGGAATTCAGCCATGATATGAACGAGGAAAAATGGGAAAAGATCCCACAGACATCAAATGAAACTCTCCGAAATGAGGCAAAAAGATCTTCCCATTCAACCAAGCCTGAAGGAGCCACAGTGAGCTTGTCTCAGCTGGAAGCCACTCTTAGGCTTTGCATAGTTTACAGGTAGAGTCATACATTAGTTGTTTCAGTCTGTTTTGTTTGGATTTTTTTTTGTATAGGGCACTTTGTTAAAAGAAAAAAAACTCAGAAAGCTGCATGCCTCCTTCCCCTAAGGGCTTCACACCCTCTGAGACATACTGCTTAAGCATAAGTTGAGTGACTGACCCTTAGTTGACTCAACTTTGTAAGTCTTCCAGTTTTACAAATAGATTTCAGAACCATCATGTTCATGCCATGGGGTGCAGTGGCAGAGCAATTAGGCATTTCACCATGGCTCCAGAGATGTGAGTTTAAGCTTTGCTTTCGATTTGTGCCAGTGGCTACCTTCAGTCAACCTAGCTGTAAATCATTACAAGGTCATTTGGACTGGACTGTAAAAGACAGCTGGACATGATGGTAGCCCTGTAACTCCCTTGTGTTGACTGTAGGAACTGCCATGTTTTAACCATGCTAACTTACTAGGTTTGGGCAGACTTTTAACAGTTTATATTAGCCAAGTGTGAAATTGTCTCTTTTGCACTTCACACTTTTTTTGTAGAATTATCACAACAACCACACACAAGCAGGTCCAAAATCAAGAGGAGGCTTTTCTACGTAGATCTATAGGCTCATTGTGTTGGCATGTGAAAATGGGGATCAGAGTGATCTGCATTCAGTACACAGCTGTATTGTAAGAAAGTAATTTGCTTATTGCACGCCATACACGGTTCAAAGCTCAATGATTTGTTATGAATATGTTTTGCAAAACTGCTGGCACTTCTCCATGATCAGACAATGCCTGTTTACTAGAGAATGTCAGATATCTGCCTTGACTGGCTATGTGGTCAAGAAAAAACAGAAGTATGCCGCACACTAATTCCTTTACTGTCAATCCTGAAGTCATGAGTCAGTGAAACTCTGACCGAAGGCAACAGGAGCTTTGACTGAGACAGTCCTTCAGGATTTAGACTTTAGACTCCACCCAGTCTTCCCTGCTGTGGGTGAAAGATTAAAATAGAGGGCCTCTCCCCTATTGAAAAGCTGCTTATTATAACTCAGTTTTTTGGGGGGGGAAGGTTGTATATATGGTTTTATAACTCTTTAGATTTGTCAGTTGAAAAAATGTTCCTTTCTTGATATCCTAAACTCTTGTGGCATTTTTGTGTGCTATTGAGGCATTATCCTCTGGAGGTGGATGTACTTCAGTGCTGGGGAATATGTGTGTACAGCTATGTGCCTACATACACATATGCTATTTCATACACACACATATATATACACACAGATACACATGAAATTGCATGTTAAACAAATACAGATTATTCATGAAAGGGGTAATTTCTGAAGTCTTTACTTTGATTTTACTCACCCTAAATTCTCATTAATGTACCCATTCCTAGGATCATTTTTTTTTATATATAGCAAATTATATCCTATGACTAAAATATATCCTCTTTCCTCTTGAGGTTTCTAATCACTTGACTTTTTTTTGTCCACCAACAAGTGAGATTTCAGGGTCTGGCCTAAACTAGCAAATATCTTGAATTTGCCAGGAATCTGCTGTGAAGTCTAGCTAGAGTCATTCAGGTCAGTGAGTAAAAACGTGGTCAATTTTATTGTGTTTGGGGCCAAGTTTGTAAAGCCTTAAGGGCCTGAAGCACCAAGATGCTTAGGCATCTAAATCAGTGATTCTCAACCAGGGAGATAAATCCAGAGATTTTAGATAGGAATCTATAGTGTTAAAAACAGTCTGACTTGCTGCAGTCTTTCTGAGTACTTTGTGACAGAAGACTTGCTCTATTATTTTGCTGTTGTCAAAAAATGAGTGAAAACTAAAACCTGGTATTTTAGAGGGGTGCCTCAAGTCTCTCAAAGGGTGCCTTGAGTCTTAAAAGGTTGCCCAAATCTATGGGCATTTAGGTGACTAGATTAGACTTAACTGGGTGAATCCAGTTTTTAGTGCTTCATCTGTATGAAAGACTGAGCGTTCTACAGTCAGAGAAGAACAATAAATATGATGAGCATGTGAAAAGAGAAAGTTTTAAAGGTCTTAGTACATTTAGCTTGGCTAAGCAATGGTTAAGGGAGAAAGGGCAGGATACAAGCAGTAAATTAGAGATGGTCTGAAATCACACACTCGAAGCCAAACACCCAGAGCTGCACTGATGTTTAAACCAAACCCATTGATGGGTTTGGACTGAATCCAGACACATAATTAAGATCCCTGGCCTGTCTCAAGCTCTTTTTCTCACGTAGAATATTCTCATGCAGGTAATGTTAGAGAGATGAGGTTACACTGTATAACACTTAAATGAACTATATGCACTGTTTTTGTTCATTTAAAAGGCAACATTAATGCATAAAAATTTAAACATTGCAGTTTATTCTGTATTTGGAATACTGTGATCTCCTGGACAGCAGCAGTTTCCTAGTTTGTGTAAAAAGGAGCAGATATTTTGAGATGATGTTAAAGGAACATAACTGAAATATGAATTTGGCCTCAGAGATTTAGGATGAATCTACTTTAGTCAGTGACATGTATTAGTTTAGTAAAGCTTAGAAGTGGATGAACCACAGAAGGGACTCATTTACATGTTCATTGATACACTGTAATGATGGCATATTAAGTTTAGTACCTGTAATAAGTTAATGTTTTACAGGGCACGTCTACATGAGATGCTAACTGCAGAGTAGCCTAATTCTACTGCACATTAGTGTGCAGGGCACAAACCATGCTAAGACGTGACTGTTCAGTAGTATTAGGCTACTGCCCAGGTAGCGTCACTAAAAAGCCATGTACTGGCACTACTGACTGGCTCAGTAGTGCCAGTTACTGTACTTTGATTTAGTACTTGGTTATACAAATACTAGACTTAATAAGCAGTAACAACAGCGCATTAATGAACATATTGACACACCCACAGGTACTAAACTTAATGTGCTGTAATTGGCACTACTGTGCAGTAGTACCGGTATATGCTTTTTTGTGATGATAATGGACAGTAGACTAATTCTACTGTGCATTAGCTCATTAGCATGTTTTTTGCCTGCCACGCTAAAATGCAGTAGAATTAGTCTACTGCACATTTAGCATCTCCTGTAGATGCACCCAAGGTTTGGTAATTTAATGTAAATAGCCATTAAAAAGTTCAAATGCTGAGCAAAGGGTTACCTGAACCTTTCAGCATGGGAATCTTCCAGAAAAACTAAGAGCAGAGAGGAATGAAAGTTGAATTTAAATGAAGGTGTATTGGGATTAGATCAAATGTTCACAGGGGCTTCAGTAGAAAAATTGGTCCAGTTAGTTGCAGTTTTTCTTGGACAAACTTTTGCTTTCATGAATATCTGGTGTGAAAAATGATGCAGCTTTGTACAAACCACATACCTCTTGCAAAGCCATGTGAAATTGTAAGTTAAAATAACTTGTAAGGTAACTTAGCGAGTTACCTTAATGCTCTTCCAAACTAATAAAGGATTGTACACACCCATTAACAAAATAAACTTATACTTTTCATCTCTGGGTCTTACATTAATAAAATTAGAAAACACATCAGTGAGGAATATGCTGTTTATTCACCCAGGTGTTTAACTGAGTGTTATGTTTTTGTATGTTATTACAAAGGGAACAGTGCACAAGTCCCTAATAGGCAACATGAAAGAGACTTTTCCATGCAGCTGATGCAGGCTAGACTCGAAAATAAAACTTGTGTGTCTTCTAAGAATTGGAAGTGGTATTCTGAGGTAACTCTCTCTGTACGAATAGTGGTATCTCTCTCTTCCTCTTTTTTTATTAGAATAATATCATGCTCATTATTAAGCTCTTATAATTTGGTCTTCCGAGTTTGCTGGCCAGAATGTTATGATCTGTGACATCATATAATGACAACCTTTTCCAGTCACTATCAACATGTATTAGACAAGGTAAAACAAGGTTTCATATACCTTTATTATGTGGGTCTCTGTGAATGTGATGGATATTTTGAGCATGTCTCTCTCTCAAGGCTGTGGTTGCGTTTATTGTTTAGAAAGAAATTCTTTTTTAAACTATGGCCATCAGATTTTACCTTCTTAAATATTATGTTAAAAGAAAATCTCACTGTATTTCACATTGCAAAGCCTGGCCATTTTCCAGTACTGTTCTATTATGAGCCTTACGTTTCTATTCAGTTTCATCCTTGATCAGAGATTATTCATTTATGGATGGGAAGCTGTAAAAACTTGCTTCATAGATATGCAAATTGAGCATGGTTATGTTTATTGCGAGGAGATTTCATTGCAGCTTAAGGGGTTGTGGCAACATGTTCCTTGTGTCTTCTACGAATGGACTTGGCATTGCTCACTTCACCTTCAATGGTTTTGGGTTTTTTTTTTTGCCACTTGCCTGGTGGAATACCATCAGTGCTGAGCAAGCTGTTTGATTCCTTTGCAGATCATGATTTTGGAAGGAACTGGCAGAATGAGTATCAGTTCCAGCAGCAATCTACTCCACCAGCAGCCATCCTGGACAGAGGGATACCCAACATGTAATGGTAGGAGGAATTCAGCAATGATCTGCTAGCTATATTGAAGGAGGGGGTAAAGGAGAGGTGGTTGTACTTTTAAGTACGCATAAGTGTACTTTCTAACCTCTCCACTTTAACATCTTTTCTCCTTTCCTGGAGTCCCACTTCTGCGAGGAACATTCCCATTTGTTGATGTATTTATAAAAATTGCACTGACAGGATTAAATGCCTGGGAATGGCCATTATTTATGGTTTATTTTGTTACTTGTACCTTTTCTTGGAGTGACCTTGTTACTGATAAAAAAGGCAAGATTGCCAGCTCTGAGGTTTCCACTTCAGAGAAAAAAATGCAACAGGGGCAGAATCAGTTCAGGCTTCACATACACATATGCTGCCCCAATGGTCAGTGAATATCCCTGGCTAGAAGGAATCAAACCAAAGACATACTCACACAATTTACCTCCCATTCAATATTTTATTGGGGAGATCAGTTTTGCCAAACTTATCTTTCAACTTGGAGCAGTAGACAGATACATTGACATTAAGGGTAATTAGTAATGATAAGTTTAGGGATGTGGAAAACCTGTCCCTTACAAAGTAGACCTAGATGTTCAGTCCCAGTGACTTTTACTTGCTACCTCCTTGGGTTAGATTCCAGGCAGTGACTTAAAGTGAATGTTGGTTGTATAGATATTTTATGACACCTGAACTCTGGTAGAACTGTGCAGGCATATAATGCATTAGATTAAACTTTTAACATCATTTTTGTCACTCAAAACATTGTCATGGCAGCAGCCGTAATCGTTGAAACCTAGTCAGGCAACCACACAATGTAGCCACATACCAATCACAGTCCTGTAGGGTGTTACAACCAAACACACTGTACTGTGGAAGTTCTTATGCAGCATTCGAAGGAGCTCAATTCTTTTTGTGTGTCTAATTCCTAAATACACAAAAATATGTGCAATTGCACTTAAGGAACCCCCTTTGTTGCCTTTAAATACTCATGAAGAAAATACCGGTAATGTTGGACTAAAAAGCACTATTTTTAGTTCACATGGTTTTGCCAACCTAGGTTTTGCCAACCTAAATTGGTAGGCTTTATTTGTGGGAATTGGGGCCCTTGAAACAACCCTTCAATTCCAAAAAGCAGTTCAGATTCACAGGAACCCAAAACTCCAAGCCAACCACATGCCTCCGTACCACTAACACGACTGCTTTCTTATTCATATCTGAAGTCTCCTGGTTTGTATCATGGTGACCTGTGAATACCCCTCTTAATCTCTGGGACTGTGGAGGGACGCATGCAAACAATTTATTCAGGGGATCCCCCTCATTCCTATCATTATACTCTAGGACCCTCACCCCTGCACTTTATTGCTTCCAACACTTCCTTCCACAGTCCAGCACGAGCAAGGCCAGGAAACAGTTCCTTCCACTACTGCAGGTAGTTCCCAACACAGCCTTAATTCTCCTGTGCTGATAGTGAAGGCGACTCAAGGATTTTATTAGCAACATTTTTTACAGCTGCTTTGGATATTCTTGTTTTGGGCGTATACAATAACAGATCAGTTCCTTGGATAAGAGAGGTATACTGAAGAGCTGGTATAGCAGAGCTATGCTTTGCCCATTTTTCCTCTCCACTCCCAGTGTACAAGGGCTTTACAGTTTGGAATTTAAAGGAAAAACAAAACCTCAAATGTTAAAACACTGATGTTCATATTTTGAGGAAATATCATCACACAATTTATCCCCCCTGCTCTTTTTTTTGACCATCTCTGGTTCTCAGCATTAATGGGTAAGGGCAGGGACTGAAATGGCTTATGTGCAGGGTCACCTACTGGTATGTCATTCTATAGTCAGGGTGGAAACTTTACTAAGGTAGTAGCAGTGAAGCCCTTTATTAGACTTTCTGGCACATGAAATAGCTGTAACTAAAACAACCTTTGTATGAGTAAAATGCCATTGTTATAGATCACAGCTCTTGCCTACACCAAGGTTTTCCTGAGTATCTCCTTCTATTGTTGCTGCTCAGTAGCTTTGTCTCCTTCTCTGTGAATACATCACTGGTTTAATGGAGCTTTCAGCAATATTTCAGTTCCCAGAAATGGCTTTAAAATATTCAAGCCAGTATTTTGTAGATTTTAAAAATTGGGTTACAGTCTCCCAAATTACCAGAAACTTCTGAGTTTGTTGAGAAATTCTAACATGGAAGGAAGAGTATTGTCACCCAAATTCAAACAGAATAAGTTTTTAAAAAATATAAATATAAGTCTCTCTGTCTCTCTCTCAGTCTGGAATTGGTAAAAACTACATTTTCCCTTAGGGAAGAATATCTAACTGGACACTATACTGCTTGGTGAGAAAAAACAAGTTTGTGCTACGTATGTTTTAGATATTACACGTTTTGGGGGCAAGGATCTTGTCCTGCTTTTTGTCTGAAGAGCTCCTACCATATTCTGTGTGCTAAATACCCAGACAATAGTCAAATTTAATTAAGCTGTGCACTGATTGCTGGTTTTTCAAAGGGGGGCCAAGGTAGAAGCAAACAACGTGCTTCTAGAACGTGTTATTTTATGGCAACGAGGAAGTGCTCTGGCACCATGGTACTCCTACATTGTATGTCTACCGTGTACCATGAAATGCTTGCTGAGACACACCACTCCCATCCTGTAAAACTTTAGCTTCTGATCAGGAAGCAGCATCACTGTATTATTGTGGCACAGCACATGTACTTAACTCATGTACACAAGGCAGGGACAGTCTTTCTCAGGTTGGCAGTAGCCTGTCTCTACGTGGAGTTGTCTTGCTCTAGAAAGACATATTCCTGGTCTGGCTTTCTGCATAATGCAAGCTGTAGGATTTTACCCGTGAATTTCACCTATTGAGTTTGTATCATGTTGCTGAGATACAACAATCTGTCTTTTCTTTATGCCCCCCTTCTCAAGCCTTCATTATGCTTTTGTCAACATTGCTAACCTTGATTGATGTAATGACCTCATTGCTTTTCATCTTTCCTTGATCCCAGTATACAAAATATTGCAGCTAATATCATCTCCCCCCCTTTAGTTTGCAGACAATGTGATCCTTTTCTTGAATGTCTCTTTTAGTTTCAGTTTAGTTTTAGTTTTCTGTCCTTTATTGCTTCATATTCAGATTTTTGCCTTATTCTCCAAGGCTCTTCACATTCTTGTACTCCTGTCTACAAATCTGTTCTCTCTTTTTCTTGATCTCCATGTCCTTTTGAATCCTTACTGCTCTGCTTGTCTTCTTTCCCTAAGTTTTACTTCGTGCATTTATCCTGCTACTTACTCTTTGTGAAACATGCCACTATGCCGTATCTCTAAATATCCTCACTCTATGACTTCAAACCTTTTATTTAAATCCACCTGTTCAAGTAAAACTAATTTAGTCCTTTTAGCATGAATTGGCCCATGCATCCTCCCACCTCTTGGCTTGTGTATACTTTCTTGGCTTTTTTAGGTTACAAGCAATTTAGGGTAGAGAACATGCCCCTTTCTAAAGACCAGGTTCTGATGCATTTACTCATTAAGCAGCCCCCTTATTCACCAAATAAGATACACACCTTGTTTTGGGAAAGCAGGATGAAGAAAAAAAGATTTTTTCCTTTTAAACAAACTGTTCAGAATCACGTTCCTCATTTAAGAACTGCACCCCTGTTATCAATTACTAATTTTCAGGGAAAGGGTGACTGTAATATGTGAATAAATAGGATATTGATAACTTTCACTCCACATGTATATTGCAAACAATATTTTTAACACTTTGTTGGCACTGGTAGCATTTTGAATACTACCGCACATATACACCTCAGAGCTAGGCTTATCAATCGCATCTTCCATAGTCACCAGATACAGAAATCAGGCCATGAATTGCCTTTCCTCAAATTGCCTTCCATACCAGTCCCTCTATTGCATAATGTCATAGCCCACAAGTTGCTTCATTCCCCCAGCTCTATGTTTCTGTATTTACAAGAACAGTGGTAGCCAACATTTTTGCCAGGCATGCCACCAATTAGCCCTACACCCTCCTTG